TTATCGTTCTTATATTCGTTTTATATTCGTTTTTACTCGTTTTTACTTGTTTTTACCAAATATATATAAAAAGAGTAAGCAAAAGGTGTTTTGTTTCACCTTCAGAAGAAATAAATTAATATTAAGAGGAATTATTAAGTAAAATGATCTTGTTTTTGTTTTGAAATGTTTTGAAATTTATTTTTTTCTTTTCATAAATCGTATAAATTCTGTACAAATACAGTAATTAAATACAATTCTGTAGCTCCTGGTAATCTATAATTAATACTCAACATTGCATATCTTACTATGTGAATTTTGTGTATGCACACATTGCGATATCTATGCTAAACCTATATATTGCGCAGCTCTACCAATAGACCCTTTTCAAATTTACGAGTTTCTCAGCAGCAGAAGTCATCATAGCAGTGTAAACTTAGAGCGCAGTGAATGGGAGTGTACAACAAATAATTTTTTAAATACTATTTGCTCAAATAATTAAAGAAAAACAGCATGTTTGTGCTATTAAGACTTTCAGAAAAAGGAAAAAAAAGTGAGACTGATGCAAAAGGAGAGTATAGCGCATATTTACGCTCAGCCCCATAGACAAGGCATTACAAACACCTCACATTAGCAGTAATTTGTAATAAATTCATAAATGCTAATAAATGCTCATACGTCAAACTCTTAAGGATCTAATATTATAATGAGCATTAAACGTTAATAACAGTCTTGTGAAAAGGGTCCATAATGCAATTGCATAATGCCAGCCTATGATTTTTTGACTTTGCCCTGCACTTTAATTGTCAACACCACATTGAACATTGTAATAACTGAAGTTTTTATTTTTTATTTTTGTTAAAACATTATATTTTTGTCATAAGCTCAACATAAACGTATTTGATTGGTTATTATTCTTTAAGCTGACTAATGAGAAATGTCTTGGTCAAGTCATGGAGTGATACACTGATGGTTCAACATCGGAGAAACTGACATTTCGCTCAGAGTTTGATTGACAGTGGATGCTTTTTTCCCCCAAAATACAAGAAAAAAAAATATTGGGGTCTTATATTTATTTATATTATAAATAAAAAAAATTTAATTATATATGAAAATATAGTTTTATTATTATTATTATTATTATTATTATTATTATTATTATTATTATTATTATTATTATTATTATTATTTAAAAGTGAAATATATCTTTCTTTTTTGTCCCCTAAACAAACAATACAGTACAGTTGGTATTTTGGGGTCAATATTTCAGAGATACAGCGCGTTGGGGGCCATTATCCTGTCATACTGAGCAGAGCAATGACGGTTGACGTTCCGCTACAAGATGGCAACAGAAACCACATAATAAGCCCTTAGAGGAGAAAAACTCAGTGTAATTTATAACTACAACTGATTAAATCATCATAAAATGGACAAGTGACTTTCTATATCATTCTTTCTCTTTTGTATGTTGTACAAAAGAGAAACACTACTAGTGTTTCTGGTAGTGTTTGCTTTGCTTTTGCTTTTTCAAGGTTAATTAATGTGATATCTCGATTTCAACAGAGGCATGTCTCTAGACTGATAACATTTCATGCTGTTCAGCCTTATAATCTTAAAATGTGAGCAAAATCACCCATTTTCCCATCATTTTAGACATTACGCAAGAGAATCGTTCATTGGTTTTTGCTGTTCTGACGTCAGCTGCAGATGTGTATGAATGGTGGAAAAAAAGTAGTTCCACATATAAAAGGATTTTTAGACTCTCCGCGTTTGATTTTATTTTTTTATACACACAAAAGTATGCCATTGTATGAACGCAACATCACACTCGTAGCAGTGTAATATGGCTGTAGACCATCCCTAGTGGGACACTAAGGCACTTAGTCTGTATTTTTTGGCCTGTAACATATTTATTTATTGCTTATTTATTGCTTAAAACAATAAACAAAAAATTGCAATCCTTTAGAAATAAATGCATTTTTCTAGCCCAGCTGGAAAACACATTTTTAATTTTTAAGTTTTACTCACGCATTGCCTTAATTTGAATACATTATTTATAAAACAAAACTTAATATCTTAAGTGTATTCCCCCAAGGTCAGGCATGACAGCCAGACCACCCAAACTCCACTCTAAATCCAGCCATGTTTATTTATTGAGGCAACGGCAGCTGCCTGAGGTCTTCACAGCCAAATGTTGGATGTTTTGTTACAAGTTCTGAAGAAGTGCTTAATTGCGGCATCTTGAAAATGTAAGCTCGCAGTAGTTTGAATGCACCGGACGGCATTAACAGGCCAAGTAATAATCTTCTGTTCTTCTGCGAGCTGTCAATCTCACACTTAACAATTGTTGCCATGGCGACATGAGCAACTCCAGCTGGATATAAGATTGATCAGACTTCACAGATAACACAGGCAGATGGTCTCACAGTTTTCTGAAGTGCACTGCATACATGCCTGCTGATCCCAAATCTGTGACAACAAGGATCAATATCCAGCCTGGACCACTTATTCTTTTTTACTTACTCTCCTCTTGTGTTCTCCTCAATCCAATGCAGAACAGAAATGTGCACTACCTTGCCTCTTGACAGACCAAACACCGTCATTCACACATTGGATTACGCAATTCTAATGTAGGACTTCTCCAACTGGATCTGGCCACAGAGAAACGAGTAGAAATGTGTCAGAATTCTGTTGCTCAAACTGTGGATGGATTTCACTAACTTGGCTTTTCTGAAAACCCTGAAATTCTTATTGTGCTTGTGCCTGTGTGAAATAACACACTATTTGCTCCACACACTATTAAAAGAGCAAATCAAATCATGCAAAGATGATAATTCTGTCACCAGAAACGAAAAACATAGAAATATTTGTTTACATGTTCAATCCAAAAATGACTTGAGAAATGCTTCATGTGAACTGATTAAAAAGTGTCAAAAAAAGCTCCTTTAAAGTATATTTTGCAGTGCTTTTCAATCCAAACATGACAAAAATAGCACATAAAAGTATCGTTTGCACTGTATTACAATCCAAATTTGACCAAATAAGCACATAAACGTGTCTTGTGTGCAATTTTTTTTGTCTAAAAACAATCATAAAGTCCATAAAGAATCCAAAAATAACCATTAAAGCTTTATTGTGCCTTACACACAAAAAAGCCGAATACATGGACAGTTCTTCTGTTCTGTTTCAATCCAAGTGTGACCATTAAAGCCTTACTGTTCTCTAATAGTCTATTTTGCACTGTATTCCAATCTAAAACTGCCCTTGTGTGCAATTTTCCATCTAAAATTTATCATGAAAGTCATATAAGGGTATGTTGTCCACTATAATTCAATCCAAATTGACCATTAAAGCCATACTGTGCACAATAATACACAAAAAAAGCCCAATACAAGTATCTTCTGTACTATATTTAAATGCAAAAGTGATTAAAAAGCTCAGAAAAGTATCCTGCACACTATATTGTATTGAAATATTATACTATACTATACTATACTATACTATACTATATTTCAATACAAGAATTATGGATAAATGAAAATGACTTATAAATGATACAAGGGAATGTTGTGCACTATATTTCAATCCAAAAGGAACTAAAAGCTGATAAAGGTATCCTGCACACTATATTTCAAGCCAAAAATGACCATTAAACCCATACAGTGCACCATATACTAATTTTAAAAAAAAAGTACATTTTGCACACAATTTAAATCCAAAATTGACCTGAAAAAGCACATAAATTGTATCATGTGCAATAGTGATGGGTCGTTCAAGAACAATTTGTTCATTTTGAACGAATCTTCAATATGACTCGGAAACTACGAGTCCTCTCAGGGACTGATTCGTTCATCCGCATTTGTGCAGGTAGTATCGTTAATTTTAAGTCTTCATCACATTGGCAGAAGCCAATTATATGCGTTTAGAGCCGGCAAAAGAATCGATCCGCTCACCTCTCGAGTCCTCTATCGGGTCTGAGTCACTCGTTCATCACGAGCCAATCATATGCGTTTAGAGCCGGAAAAAGAACTGATCCGCTCACCTCTCGAGTCCTCTATTGGGTCTGAGTCACTCGTTCATCACGAGCCAATCATATGCGTTTAGAGCCGGAAAAAGAATTGATCCACTCACCTCTCGAGTCCTCTATCGGGTCTGAGTCACTCGTTCATCACGAGCCAATCATATGCGTTTAGACCCGGAAAAAGAATTGATCCACTCACCTCTCGAGTCCTCTATCGGGTCTGAGTCACTCGTTCATCACGAGCCAATCATATGCGTTTAGAGCCGGAAAAAGAACTGATTCGCTCACCTCTCGAGTCCTCTATCGGGTCTGAGTCACTCGTTCATCACGAGCCAATCATATGCGTTTAGACCCGGAAAAAGTTTTGATCCGTTCATCTCTCGACTGCAATATTTTCATCTAAAAATTATCATAAAATCCATGTTGTACACTATATACAGTCCAAAAATGGCCATTAAAGCACTGTTGTGCAGTATAAACACAAAAAAACACAATACAGTGTCTTGTGTAATATTTTTCAATCCCAAAAGGCACTAAAAACGCAAATAATTTCAATCCAAAATTATAAATAAATCCCTACTCTGCTCCATCAACTTAAAAATGGCTAAAAACGTCTTATAAAAAGTAGTATGAATCATACTATTTTTCAATCCAAAGATGACTAAAGGCCACCATTTAATAATCTTGCATCATAATGGTATCTTCTGTATATTTCAGTGCAAAGTATTTTTGCATTAGATTCCAAACACCTACATGTATATTATATTATTACTTTCTCCCTATGGTGTCCATGATACAAAAACTGCAACTGATATTTCTCTGTATCATATTTACTGCAAATCTGCAATTTCCTTTGACTGAAATAAAAAAACATACATAGCGAATCAAATAGAAAACAAGAAACAAGTAAATACAGTAAACAAAATCTCACAATTAAGCCAGTATATATAAGAAAAACCATCCAAGAAAAACCCTAAAATAAAACACACTGGCATCTGACCTGTTTTCCACATGAACTGGCTTCTTTTAGGTGCCTCTGCTCCCAGGGAAAGAGACATTAGTGCTACATAAAGGAGGGAAGCCCACAGGGAGAAGACAAAGGTAATCTCCTCTTTCAGAAATGCCATCTTTGGTCAGCCTGTTGGAATCAAACCTGAAACAGAAATACATACAAGAGCTGGTCAGTTAAAATATCTACTACTGTATGTATATAATTCATTAAGTGAACCAATGATATACTTGCATTTGTGACCACTTAATGTACAAGAGATCAAATGTCAGTAACATATCGGCAGCAGTTACTGCCAGTAACGTAACATGAAAAAAAAAAAAAAAACAGTAAATTTAGCTTTTTGTTTATTCTTATTTTGTTCATGTTTGTAATATAAAGTACATTACCTATGAAGAGTTCCTGTAAACCACTATGCTCAAAGTGTGTCTATGTGCGTGTATACCTTGTATTTCTTGAAGTTGTTACAAGTATACCAAATGTCCCCACAAGTATAGGAATACCAGTCATTTTTGACTTTGTAGGGAATTTAGTTATTTTTGGTCTCCATGAGAAGGACTGCTCACAAATCACACAAAATGAAGAATACTGAAAACACTGAAAAGTGGAGTATGTGTGTGAACAAACCCCCCACACGTCTAAGAGCATCAATAAATGTTGACATTGCTGGGACTTTTCTGGTCACCATGAGAAAAAAAACAGCTCATAAATCACACAGAATTAATCATTTTGATTATGTTAAAATATGGTGTCAGCGTGTACATGTCTGTGACCAAATGTACTCACATATATAGCAATCCTAGAAAAATTTGACATTGTGTGGACATTTTTTGGTCCCCATGAGGAAAATGGCTCAATCACACAAAGTGTAGAAATTTGAAAAATGTTAAAATGTGGCATGTGTGTGTGTGCATTTGTGTGTCACTAAATGTCCCCACAAGTATAGGAATATCAGTAAATTTTTACTTACATATTTATATGTATTGGGGTACATATTTTGGACCCCATGAGCAAAACAGCTCACAAATCACACAGAATGAAGAATTTAAACAATTTTAAAATGAAGCATGTGTGTGTGACCCACAAGTATAGAAAGACCAGTAAATGCGGTCTTTGTGGGGACTTTTTTTTGTCCCTATGAAAAAAATGGCTCAATCACATAAAACGAAAAATTTTGAAAATGCTAAAATGTGTTGTTGTTGTTGTTGTTGTGTGTGAATGTGTGTGTGTGTGTGTGTGTATACATGCATATGTTTGTGACCAAAATATCCCCACAAGTATAGGAATACCAGTAAATCTTGACTTTGTGGGGACATTTTTGTTTGGTCCCCATGCAGAAGCAAAACAGCTCACAAATCACTCAGAATGAAGAATTTTGAAAATGCTAAAATGTACTGTGTGTATGTGTGTGTGGCCAAATGTCCCAGGAATAGCAGTAGATTTTAACCTTATGTGGACTTTTTATGGTCCCCATGAGGAAAATGGCTCAATAATTACACAGAATAAAGAATTTAGAAAATGCTAAAATGTGGCGTGTGTGTGTTTGTGTGTGTGTGTGTGTGTGTGTGTGAACAAAACCCCCACCAGTATAGGAATACCAGTAAATTTTGACTTTGTGGGGACATTTTTGGTCCCCATAAGGAAAACAGCTCAAACACACATAATTTATTTTTTAAAATACTAAAATGTGGTGTGTGTGTGTGTGTGTGTGTGTGTGTGTGTTCGTGCATGTGTGTGAGTGTGTGTGTGTGTGTGTGTGTGTGTGTGAGACCAAATGCCCCCATAAGTATGGGAATACCAGTAATGTTTGACCTTGTGGGGACATTATTTTGGACCCCATGAAGAAAACAGCTCACAAATCCCACAGAATGAAAAATGTTAAAAATGCTCAAATGTGACATGTGTTTGTGCATTTGTGTGTTACCAAATGTCCTCACAAGTATAGGAATACCAGTCAATTTTGACCTTGTGGGGACATTCTTTGGTCCCCATAAGGAAAACAGTTCAATCACACATAATGAAGAATGCCGAAAATGTGCCGTGAATTTTGAAAATACTAAAATGTGGCATATGTGTCTGTGTGTGTGTGTGTGAAAGTAAATGTCCCCATAAGTATAGGAATACCAGTCATTTTTGACCTTTCGAGGACATTATTTTGGTCCCCATAAAGAAAACAAATCACTCAGAATGAAGAAAATGCACCATGTGTTTGTGGATTTGTGTATGATCAAATGTCCCCACAAGTATAGGAACACCAGTAAAATTTGACCTTATGGGGACATTTTTAAAATATACAGTCTGATCAATATAAAAATCATTATGTGTATGAAAAGTCCCCAAAAAGATAGCTTAGTCACTTTTTATCTTGTGTGGACATTTTATCTGGTCAACATGAGGAAAACGTCTCATAAGTCACATTAATTAAGAATTAAGAATTTTGAAAAATCATTATATCTGTGTGAGAAGTCCCCAAAAGGATAGCCATACATATGTGTGTGTATGTGTATAATATATGTGTGTGAGCGCAGATACACTGCAGTCTGTGCACATGTGTGAGAGCCAGGAGTGAATGGAGGGCTGTCGAAACTGATTAGCTTTGTAATTACTCTCCAGTCTGCGGTCAGCGCTAACAGACATGTTTAATGCTCTGCGTCAATCTACAGTCTCTCGATGAAGTGAGCAGCGAATGCAAAGATAACTGCAGAACTGGATCTCAAAACTGACTTCAGCTGTGACAAGCCTTTCAAACTCAATAGCAAAAAGCAAACGGTTAATACATATCCAGTCAGTGTTATTTAGTTCCGCGGAATAGTGGTTGATTTACATTTTCTGGAAGGAAATCAGAGTGTTGTGGGGATTATAGGAAAGGGAAGAGACAGATGTGAAGATGCAGGAGGAATTATCTTACAGGAACATCAGGGGAAATCGAGTGAGAAGTTGTGAAGTTGCTGTATAGATGATTACAGAGGATAGTGAACCATTGGTAAAATCACAATTTAGTGGGATTTTATGAAATGTTGTTATATAATAATAATAATAATATCAATAATAATAATAAATTATAATAATAATATCAATAATAATAATAATAATAATAATAATAATATCAATAATAATAATAATAATAATAATAATAATAATAATAATAATAATAATAATAATAATAATATCAATAATAATAATAATAATAATAATAATAATAATAATAAAACATTTTATAATTATTTTAATAAATACATTTTACTTTGGTCGTCACGGTGGTGCAGTGGGTAGCACGAATGTCTCACAGCAAGAAGGTCGCTGGTTCGAGCTTCGGCGGGGTCAGTTGGCATTTGTGTGTGGAGTTTGCATGTTCTCCCCATGTTTGCGTGGGTTTCCTGCAGGTGCTCCAGTTTCCCCCACAAGTCTAAAGATATGTGGTATAGGTGAATTGGGTAAGGTAAATTCTCCTTTGTGTATGTGTGTGTGGATAGATGTTTCCCAATGATGGGTTGCAGCTGGAAGGGCATCCACTGCATAAAATTTAAGTAGATTGGACATAAAACATTTATGTTGTCCTCCAAAAAATCTTGTATGGTTTCAAATCATTTAAATAAGTATTTTGAACAAGCAGCAAACTCAAATTTTCAGTGCAAATCCAAACCGAAGGAAACACTCTTGTATTTACGCCTATTCAGAGCAGTTTGACTGATGTCCTCTCTCATCCTTCATAAAGAGGGTTAATTAGCTCCTGTTTCCCTTATGTTCCAGCTAAGATCCACAATTAGCAAGTGCCTCTTTAAATCTTATCATCTCTTATCATTCAGTTGTTTTAACAAAAAAACCTCTATCCAGTCAGTGTTTTGTCTTCACCGCTCCTGCTTTTTTATCACCTTCTGACTCTTCTCTCTTCTCCTCAAGCGTTTCTTTCTCCCCTGAGTAACGGATTTGACATGCCGTAATTTGGCTGAGTGGAATCAGCCACGGCGAAAATCACAGAGTGTCCTGTTCATCTCTTTAAATGTTGTCCTCGAATGAAGCGCACGCTTCATCCAGTAAGCTCTAACTAGCGCCAATGAATTCCCCTCAAGAGACTGCATGGATATTTCCCCCCTTCAGCAAGGTGTTTATGTGAGCCGCAGAGACAGAAGAAGAAAAGCAGACCAAAAAAAAAGAGATACTGGGGAAGGATTTCACACGTTTAGCTTTCGTGTAAATGTGTTCCGTGTCTTCAGGGAGGTTTTCTTCTGCTGCTTCTTCCCTGGCAGATCCTGTATTTCACACTTGCTTTGATTGATTGTGCTGAAACTTGAATGCGGGGATATTCAAACCAGCATCCAGGTGATGAAAGACATTTGGATCTGCGGCTGGAAGTGAATTAGGACCGTGGATAATCACACATAAGCACTTTCTGTTGTGTGAAACTGTGGAGGACTTTAGATAAGTACTTTTACATTTGATTGCAAAATGTCTGACTATTTTTTAGCAAATTTGAGCATTTTGAATTAAGTGTGGGGAAAAAGGTGTGTGTATCATCTAAAAAAAAATACAGTTTTATTACTTGATATGTCATTTTAGTTGTCCGTTTTTAGTTGAAAACAGAACATGTGAGCTTTTATTGTTTTGTGCCAGCTGAATAAACATTCGGACAGTGGAGACTCTGGAATTCTCAAACTAACCAAAATTTTTTTTACAAAATACTCATTCAAACACTGGAACATGGACACGCAGGAAATATGGGATCTTGACAAAGCAATACTGGACAATGGACTAACTAAACACAGGGACATAAATACACATGGCATGATGCAACTAATTACAAACAGGGGTGAGACACAGGCGGAACCCATAAACATCACGAAATGGGGGGCGATACAAACAAGGCAATGGAGCACAGCACATGGGGAAGGTCACATGACACAAACACAGAAGTCTGATGCTCCCTCGCACCGTCAATGCAAAAGACAAGAAAAACAATTATGGAAAGGAGGGGGCCAGGGTGGAGCCTTAGGAGGGAGGAGCCATAAAGGTAGCTGGAACAGGACAAACCGGACCCTGGACACAGCCAGGAGGACGACCCAGGGTTGATTTGACGGAGGGATGAGCCATGTAGGAGGAGTGGCCGCTGACTCTAGGGGGCCGACTGCGGAGGTGGAGCCAATGGA